AATACGTACTTGGATAGGTCTAAGCCTCTTGGTTTCAAGGTACAGCTCGTCGACACGATCTTATCGTATTGTATATATGTATACAGGGTGTTTCACGACTTTAGGACATAACTGCAGGCAGTGATTTCCTAGGTCTTTGTGATTAAAAAAGTTCATATAAACATGTACCCGATTTTTGACGGTCACGGAGTTATGACCGTTTTTTTCATTCCCGTACACGCCCTCGTATGAACCGCGTCTGTCAGCTGGCGGGTCGCTATTTTTAGCCAGTTACAGACAGAGCGTTCTCGTTAACTCGACACATGAGAACTACCTAAGGCGGGGTGGGTTGGCATGCCCTGCGCGGTTCACAACCGAGCGGCAGCCTGTCTTGCGGCCGGCGGTAGCATTTTCGAAAATCAGCTTTAAGCACCAATCAATTCAAATTGAAGGCAATTTCACGAAGTTAACTTTACATTCATACTTTAAATGTATCATGTATTATGCTGGTTTATTATTTTGTTCCGTTTATTGTCAGTAATCGTTACCTTCTATTCTGAGTTTAAAACGGTCATAACTCCGTAACCGTCCAAAATCGGACACATGTTTATATGAACTTTTTTGATCACAAAGACCTAGGAAATCACCTCCTGCAGTTATGCCCTAAAGTCGTGAAACACTCTGTATATGGACAAGGTAAGAACGTAAAGCTCTCCCTGTAACAGGCCGTGGAGGCCCAGAGGGTTGTGAGATGTCGAGGCTCCCGCATTTTCTAGGCAGTCGCATGAGAGATGGCGGTGAGGTTATCAGACTTATGTGCCGTCAGGTCGTCCTTCAGTCCCAGGCACTCATTTCTGTTAGAGGCTGAACGGACCCCAGGGCCATAGTGCGGCTGGAAGGATTAGGTCAATTGAGAAATCCAGTGACAATAGAGCCTCAACTAATTGCGCTACCGGGTGCCTCCACTGTCAATAAGATCAATAATACAATAAAATCAATGCATGGAAACGAAAGACTGCTCGGTCATTCGTGTCCCATTATAGATTTTATTCAACCTGCGAAACAGTTTCTTAAATTCTGCAACTTGAAAATCCGTTGCTATGCTAACCTGCAGAACAGCAAGCTTTTTAATCTTCCAAAATCGGGGCAATATTAAATTGGATACACCGATGAAGATGATCCCAATCATCCGGAATTTTAACCGGTTGAAATTATAATTACGTATAGAGATGTTGGGCGCTTCTCCTTGCCTGAGGTCTCGGTATATGACACGACATTCTGGGAGTTAGCTCTACTCGAATCTTCAGGCGATTGGTTGTAATTATACAGAGTGTCCCAGGTCAAAATTCGGGGAGGTCATAGCATCGGCTATTCTAAGCAGAGAAGTATATACGTACATGTGGCCTCTTCCGAGCGGTTTCCGAGATAGAGCTACTTTACTGTATAGTTACAAAATTGTTGATAAGAAATAGATATCACGTTTATTTTATAGTACTTGTGTTTATTGTTCAAGTGACAAAGTTGGTACTGTTTACCTAGTGTAATACATTTCAGAAAATTCCACCGTCAACATCAATGCACTTTGCAACTCGTGTGAGGACATGGGGTGTTGCTCGTCTGTACAGTGTACAATGAAATAATTTCAAAATCACCTTTCATCTATCATCTAATCCATGCGACACTGTATGTCCCATAGATACTGTCAGCGTTGTGATATAACTCCAAGATAAATCAAAGGGTCTCAAATAGATGAGAACGTATTTTTCTTAAAATGACCTTCGTTGGTGCCCATATGTTTTGTGTTTTCCAATTTCCATTTCTGTATGAACTTCACAGTCATTAATTTCATTTTCAAATAAATTTCTTCGTTGTGTTTAATAAAATCCATCTTGTGCTGCTACCTAGTGAGAGAATGAGCAATAAAATGATTTAGCAGAGAGCAGCGGGGCGAAAGATGATTAAAATAGGAAAATGTTTTTATCTTCCTACACAGAAAACGCGGAAAACTGTGGTGTAAATGAGTGTGGAATTTGATGGCGTCTGTATTTTGTTTCTAGTGACAGCGTGTTGTAGTAGGTAATATTAAATAGGCCTCTGGCTGATATTATTGTTTTCAATACGCATGCGCAAACTGAGGATGAAAGAGATGATACAGAATACAACTTCTATGGGGAACTAGAGCGTGTATTCGATAAATTCCCCAAGTACCGCATGAAAATTTTGTTAGGAGATTTCAATGCAAATGTAGGCAGGAAAAATGTGTTCACACTGATAAATCTGAACGAGAGAGTTCACGTGAAGCTAGCGAAGACAGTCGGGTTAAAATAATAAAGTTTCGCCGTGTGAACACGATAGGAACATTATACTAGTTAATGTCTTATGTACAGTTCCGTACGAGGTGGTTTTCAATATATTAAACTGTCTTAAGTCTGGTTTATAAATGGAATTACAGCAGACAGAAAACGTGTAGATAGACCTACCAAAATACAGATTTCAGCAGTATAATAATGGATAGAATCTGTGACATGGTTTGTGGCGTACGTGGACATGTGGGAAGTAGGCTTTGTAATTGTTAATTATGCCTGAAAGTCGATATTTCCGACTAACATTATTCAAAATCTACTCATATGAATTATAAAAGAATGCATTAACAGTTTATGGGGACCGGGATAGCGCAGTTGCTATAGCGACTGAGTACTGGCTGGACGACAGAGGGGTCGGAGTTCGTGTCTCGGTAAGGTCGAGAATTTTCTCTTCTCCACATCGTCCAATCCTGCTCTGGGGACCACCAAGCCCGCTATCCATAGGGTGCCGGGGGTAAAATGGCCTGGTACATGAAGCTGACCCCTCACCTCCAACTAGTGCCGAGGTCAACTGAACTTGAATATCCACTCCTTTATACGTCTTCATGAAGTAATTCTTAATTTAGTTAAACATGGGGACAACGTTACTTTTATTAACAGTTTATAATACATATGAAATGCAGATCACAGCGACCGCACCGTCTAAGGCATGAACTGTCTTCCCTCGCTCGAACGCTGGAATCGTGGGTTCGAATCCCAATGAAGGCATGGATGTCTATGTATGTGTTTTTTTCTGTGTTTGTGTTATCCTGTGTGTTGGTAATGGCCTTGTGACGGACTGATGCCCTTCCCAAGGAGTCCTACCGTCTGTGTAAGAAATATTAAGGAACTGAAGAAGAGACCAGGGCCCAACAAAGGGCTGTAGAGCCGGTCATGAATGATGCGTTTGAAATAGTTAATTTGTGAACTTATGAAATGTAGGCTTTCTTATGGATCAATATGTTTAGAAAATGTAACTGCTCGACAACTTCTAGTCAAAGTCCTCGATTTAAAATTAAAGAATAATCCTGCAGCCATTCTAAACGCTGATATAAGTACCTGACAGATATGAAGCAGTCATTGCCTCTCTAGCAGACCTTTTTTTTTATCATATACCTGGAATAAATGAGAAAATGTTATGATAAAAAATGTGTCTGGAAACTTTGATGGATTTACATGTTTTTAGCCTCTCTCAGAGGAAGAAAATTGGTTTTTGGAATGTCGGAAGGCTGTGCAAAATTACAGTGCCCCGAACATTTGGACGGCGTTTATTCATGTTACGAGTTTATATTTAACAGTTTATCCACATAACGAATGTGAACATTTCGAGCTCCAAAAATAAAGGCTTTTCAAAGTAGGCCCCAAGCACAAAATGGAAACATTCTCGAAAACGACTTCATTTTGATTACATAATCCGAATTTATGAAGACAATCATCATAAATATAACTGAATTTATGGTATCTTAAGGAACATGAGAGAAGGCGTTATGTATTTTTATTAACCGGCTTTACCGGTTACACGAATGTCATTGTTGTTTGGTATTCAGTATTCAGGTGAGATAATGTTGATGTAGTTTCCATGGCAACACGGTGAAGGCCAGTCACATGTGGCAGTCTTTACATTCATGTAGATTCTAAAGTGTTCTGACTATGGAGTGTAACAGAATCACTGGGTTTTGACTCTATCCATGGTCCGGTGTTCTATAAACTGGAAGAAAAACAACGCGATTCATGTTAGATGTTTTAAGAGACCCAACAGATTAGGTGTCTCCCGTTTTCACCTGAGGACGGAAACAGATCCAGTTTCCGAAACGTAGTGTTCTCGTTTCTAGAATACCGGATGATGGACAGAGTTCAAAATCCCAGTAATTTTGAATATTTTTAAAGTTGTGTTTCACCCCCTTAAAGAACACCCAGATATCTAATTCTCTTAGATTGTAATATTCGTATGTAAAAAGATTCATTACTATTGTGGTGGGCCTGTTTGAATATTCCTGTCTTGTGTGATGTGACGCTGTGCAGTGTGATTGAAATTTATTGACGTTTCGAAGGAACCTGCTGCCACCATCTACGAGTTCGAAGGGTAAGCCAGGAAGCAGGCAGCTTTCTTGTCTTCCTCTTCGATCCTGAAATGGAAGCAATATGTACTTCCGAAACGTCGATGAACTTGTTCATGGGTCACATCCCAGAAGACAGTTATTTCCAGAGCCACAAACGGAACCTCACCTCCGATGTTAAGGCGTGGCGACACTACTCGTGCTCGTGCTCGCCAGGCTTGTGCTCGTCGGGAGACTCGTCTGGCTTTTACTTGTGCTCGCCAGGCTTTGGCGTGTGAGGATCTGTATATTTACTCGTAGTGTGTATAGGCTGTAGTCGTATTTTAATTTATTGGCTATAGTTTTTAAATTAAAAATTTAAAATTTGCTTGTCTCGTGACTTGTCATATCGTCCACATTACTCGCGAGCATAGCGAGTCACACGAGCGCCTTTAGAATCAGCCAGTGCGCATGGCCGTTCCATTAATGATGCAGCCAACACTGGGACAGGTTACTTTGAAGGAAATATTGGGACTGTGGACGTTGCTGGGAAGGGTTACACTTAGACTTATTACAATCCTTGTGCTCTCTGTTTTGTTTGCCTGTTTGTCACAGCGCTTGTGTTCTCTGCTCTTTTTTGCAGGAGAAACGATTGTGGTGTGGTTCTGTCTGGATTACCTTGCAGACTTCCTCTACCTTGCCGACATCGTGTTCCACTTCCGGACAGGATATCTAGAGGACGGTGTGCTGCAGACAGACTCGACTAAGCTACGTAATCACTACATGAACTCCACCACATTCTACATCGATTGCCTCTGTCTTCTGCCGTTAGATTTCCTTTATCTCTCGATAGGTTTCAATTCTATTCTCCGCTCATTTCGTCTAGTCAAGATATATCGGTTCTGGGCTTTCATGGACCGGACTGAGAGACACACAAATTATCCGAATTTGTTTCGATCCACGAGTTTGATACATTATTTGTTAGTGATCTTCCACTGGAACGGTTGTCTCTATCATATAATATATAAGAACAACGCGTTTGGTAGTAAGAACTGGGTGTATGGTGATAGTGAGACTGCGGACGTCGTAAAACAGTATCTACAGAGTTATTACTGGTGTACCCTGGCGCTGACCACGATAGGGGACTTGCCCCGTCCGCGCAGCAAGTTCGAGTATATGTTCGTTATCCTGCAACTGCTCTTCGGCCTCCTGTTGTTCGCAACTGTACTGGGTCACGTGGCCAACATCGTCACCAGCGTCAGTGCTGCTCGCAAGGAATTCCAGGGTGAGTACTGATGTCTTCGTTCATTATAATATAAGCCTGAGATATATGCTCCCAAATATTCATGTTTAAATTTACATGACATGCTTTATCTCCCGGTTAGCGCAAATTGCAGTTCTCCACATTGTTGTAGGTTCTCTCAGGCTGTACGGTGACAGCAGGAACATAATAGCTTTACAGCCTCTCTACACCTGCAGAAAGCTATAAAACGTTCCTGTACAGTCACGAAAAGTGCAGTTCTGCACATTGTTGTAGGTTCTCTCAGGCTGTACGGTGACAACAGGAACCTAAGTGGCTTTACAGGCTTTTAAGTCTTTTACAGTCACAAATATTTTCGCGAAATGTTTGGCCGGCTGCTACCACATTTTCCGAAAGCACCAATTAAACCTCGCCGACCTGCCAGACTGAGCCGTTACAACGATATTTTAAATAATTCTTGAGAAATTTGTTACCCGCTTTACAATAGATCCCGAGCCACAGGTTGAAACAGCCTGGTATAAGTGAACTGGTACAACTGTAGCTGCAATAGACAGATGAATTCCGACTTCGATAAATCGATGTAACCCTTTCGTTGCTACATTTTTAAATACCCACAAAGCCTTCAACCCTATAGTGTTACATGGAACGTATCTGTGTCGGCCATATGTGGTTGATGCTAGAGATAGCCAATCGAAGGAGCCCACTACGAACGCTCCGCTTCAGTTTCTTTAACGGCTACGCGTCTTTGTGTTATGTTATTACATTTGCCACCATGTTGTTCTGTTGTATATTTTTCCCTCCTGGCCCTGTGACTGTTGGGTAGACTACATAGAGGCGATCCCCGAACGAACACAGTTCACTGAAATTTGTCTCTAAGTTCAATGAGTGTTCTTAAGTTGCATTTATTTTTATAAGATATATCGTTAAATTTATTAATGCTAATTTGTTAAAATATTCGTTAAATTAATTGGGAGTCGCGATTTATCAGTCCTTTCAACTTTCGTTAATACGAATTATTCGTTTCTTGTTAGTTCGTACATAGAGATTCGTTTGTACTTGATTAGAGAGAGGCCCGTTAAAGTTAACGGGAAATCCACAGTATTGTCACGTAGTATGGAGTGTGATTATAGACGGGCCTTGGGTTGGATATTAGATTTATTGACCACTTATACTCACGACTCGGAACTACAAGCGGTTACAGTCTCACAGCTCATCTCCACAGTACTCGCTAAGTCTTTTCCATCCTAGGTTTTCAGCAGCCGTTCTCTAGTTACGGCTTCTAACACTGGAAAATTTTCAGCTTCCGCGCTGTACTCTTCTTCACACTGCCGTACAGAACTGGCTCGGTTTCCACAGTTGTTTTCTTTATAACTTCTCGGCTCGGACAGAGTAGAGAACACTGTTGGCAATAGTACCTCTATTGTTGCATGATTATCCGTTGCCGTGGGAACGTGTTTACCGAGTCGTTGACTAGAAACAGATGTAGTTTCAGAGCCATTTGCATCTACGGCCGTTTCTCTGGCTCCACAATTCTTGTTTTGAACAAATATGCCACAGTGTTTATATGGAGATTACAGACTGTTCATTACTGACTGCGTGATTTCAGGGATTATCAATCCTTGCCAAAAAAAAAAAATACTAAAATTATTAGGAATTGATTCATTTAGAAGAAAGAGTCTCGCATACACGTAGGGGTTGGGTATAATATATGGCCATTTTACCCATGAAGAGCTTATGACCACAGTCTTACTCATACAGAATAATTGATTCTATACGTTTCTTTGAGACTGTAAATTTATGCCCAACAAATAATGTTTTATCAGTAAAGAAGTTCTTAACATGGAGATTACGATATTCTGGGCTATAATGCCATTTCGTTAACATAGCTTACGACATTTCGGAGAAATATAAAGCCTCAATATTCAGGATCGAAAAAATCAAGAAAACAGCACGAAGCAGCCACCACCGGATTACACGACGTTAAAACCCAGCAGGCTGTGCTCTTCAGAGTACCCGCTGTGAGAACCTTATATCCAGCAGTTCTTAGGCCTTACAGGTTAACATTTACCTGGTTGTTCCATGTACCTTCTAAAGACTGCAGTGCTGACTGAAAGACATATCCCCGCACAGTCTGAAATCATATCTTGGTTTAATTTATTCTGTTATTTCCGGTACTTTGTCCTTGAAAGGTTATAAGCAACTCGTTCGTACAATAACTGGTTACTTTGTGGAAGGGGTGGGCAAACTGTATATTCGAAAGGCCATATTATGGATTGCAACAATATCTCCATGCCGGAAAGAGGCCAAGGTCAATTAAATACGTTTCAAATAATTTTTCATCCACGGAAATATGTAATTTACATAATGAATGTTATTACGCGCCACATTAATTCGACAGATGGTGCTGTGTGCATTTGCTAACAAAGTTTCTTGTTCATTTAAAATGTTGATATAATTAAAAAGTACTATATGCATATTTCCATAACAATTCCGAGGGCCGGGTAAAAATCTCTCATGGGTCGTAGTTTGTCTAGCCTTTGCTTTGTGGAGTCGACAGACATGTATCTACTGAGACACGTTTAGATTTTTTTTTCCTTGGCACTACAGCCCCAGTGGGCCTAGGCCTACCTCCATGAACTCCGTTCACTTCGGTTTTATAGATCTTACACATTCGGTAGGACTCCTTGGGCGAGTGATCAGCTCGTTGCAAGGCCTCTACCTGTAGACAAACACAGAAAAACCCACACACAAACATCCATGCCCTCAGTAGGATTCGAACCCACGATCCCGGTTTCCAAGCGAGCGAAGACAGTGCATGCCTTAGACCGCTCGGCTACCGTGACCGGCACACGTTTAGAAATATGTCAATGAAATTTGCATTTCCTCTGAATTTAGTTCAGTCAATGACAAATAATATTATCTGATGATTTAATTAAAGAACATTTCTTCTTGAAAATAATTGGGTAGTATTTTAACAGAACTATAATTTTGCTTGTGGTTGTATATGGATTTGAATGGTCTCTAATATTAAGGAAGACCATAGGCTGAGGGTGTTTCAGAACAGGGCGCTAAGGAGATTATTTGGACCGACGAGAAATTAAGTGACGGGAGGTTGGAGAAAAGTGCATAATGAGGTGCTTCATAACTTGTCCTCTTCGCCAAGTTTAATTAAGAGATTCACGTCTAGGAGAATGACATGAGCGGGGAATGTAGCACGCACGGGGACAAAGAGGAATGCATGTAGGATATCAGTGGGAAAGCCAGAAGGAAAGAGACCCCTAGGAAGACCAAGAGGTAGGTAGTTGCGTAATATTAAGACGGATATTAGAGACATAAGATGGAATGGTATGTACTGGCTTGATATAGCTGAGGATAAGGACCAGAGGAGGGCTTTTGTGAACACTATCCTTGTAAAAGGCCTTGGAGACCTATAGGGTTGTGAGACGGCGAGGCTCCCACAATTTCTAGGCAGTCGGTTCACAGATGGCGGTCAGGTTGTCAGCCTTACGCACCTTCCGCTCTTTGTCCCGAGGAAGATTTTTGGTATTCATTTCGGTTAGAGGCTGAATCGACCCCGGGACCACTGTGCGGCTGGAAGGATTAGATCAATTAAAAAATTCAATGACCTCATCGGGATTCGGTCCCACGGCCTTCCGGCTTGTAGTATAGTGCCTCAACCAACTATGCTACCACAAGAAAATATTGCACGTGTACGGAAATTGTTTTCTCTATAGAAATTTGTGCTCCAGATTCGATGTTGATATTGATAACGGGGGCAGTTTGCTGTTGACATTGCAACTGGCGTTTTAACGGCAAGTGACACAAGTGTATTCGGGATTGCAATTACATCCTACCCTAGAAACTTAGGCCACAGACCTACACTTTCGATTGACGGAGATGTGGCTAATGGTGTTTGTAGAGAGTCAATATATCTAAGTACTTTACTAATGAAGTTGCCAAGTGCTTTCGAGAGGTTTTCTGCGATATAACAGAACTGTTTGTGTTTCAAATGTAGTGCATGGTAGACAGTAGTAGACACGTAGTTGCTCTGTGATTGTGGACGGACAGATTCGGTATTAACAATTGTTGAATACTGGTATTGTGAAGGGAGGTAAATGGGCCCAACTTTATTCATTCTGGTCAGTCGCACTGGTAAATTATTATAGAATAATTGAAAACACCGTCCAGTGTGATTCAGTTTGGATATGTCATCTGTGACAATCTTCAGAAGGCAATAAAGTCAACATGTGTAAAGAACTAATGTTACAAACCTCGTAATACATATTTAGAAGCTGTTATATAAAAATTATTTGCAATTATATAGATTAAGAATCTTATTAATGCTTAATATTTAAAATCTAGAACCCATATTATCTGTGTTCCTCTTCTGTTAAAATGGAAANGGGTCATCTCCGCGTGGATACCAATAGTACTCCAACTTTCCGTTTTAACAGAAGAGGCACAAGAACACAGACCAAATCGGTTCAGGTTCATAATATTAGTCATTAATAATATTTTTGATCTAAATAATTATAAATAACTCTTTATATAATAACTTCTGAATACGTATTACGAGTTTTCTAATAGTAGTTCCTAAACATGTTGATCTTATGCCTTGTGAAGACGGTCACAGCTGACCGAAACATGTAAGGGCAAAAATATCTACAAATTAAACCACACTGCACTGTGTTACCAATTGTTCTATAAGAAGGTAAGTTTTGCAATGGTACCGTTGGCTCTGTGATTCAGGTGTAAATGGTCTTGATAAAGTTTTGGTTGAGATTTAGTTGTTTGCAAACTCTGTGTTTGGTTTTAAATTCAAAAGAAGTCTGTTTCAACACAACAATAATGTGCCTGTAAACTGATTCCAAACCGATTTAAAGTTTAGTCGATGTGCAGCAGAGTTACTGAGCTTCTGAAAGCCGAGTCCGTAATGCAGACAATATTTAAACCTCAGTTTCACCCTCGAAGGACTCGTTTTGTTAACACCTGTTTCTCTTCCCTTAACGTATTAGGCCTTTTGG